AGGTTTTGTTTTGATGCTGACTGGGCTTAGTTGGAGAGAATGCCTCATAGTGGATGGGCAGGGGTATTTTTTGATACTGAATATATTTGCATATGCATGGAGCTGTGGGAATGTAATAGGCTGTCAATAACTTGAAGATCATCATTCTAGTAGGCCACACAAGGTATCAAACATAGTATCATCCAAACCACAGATTGGCGCTAGCATAAAGCTGGGCTGCACTGATGTTGTTCAGTGTTTTTACTGATACAATTCCACTTTTGTATTAACGAGAGCGCTTTTGGAATCCCTGTGTCTCTGAAAGATTGTTTTCCTGAACCCCCTGGCAATTTGCCTTCCTCCTTGATAAGGAGCTACGTTCCAGTAGTTAGTTGCCATTTGCCATCACCTGCCAGTTTTTCTCACTAATGAAATGTTCAGTGTTCCATAAGCTTCGTCAACAAGGGTATTCAGCAGCAATACTCTGAATAAATAAGCTTGTGGATAAATGAGTGCACAGATGAGGAAAAGAAACAAGCAACTGAGGTGGAAAATCACACTGAATTTGGACTGAGCCAGGGTTCATTTATCTCATCCTCATAATATCTTTCCTTAGACATTGTTTCCTTACCATATCATGTGGCCTCTATGCATCTCCTGAGGCCTTATGGCTACAACCTTCACACACCTGATAGCTCTCTTGCTGAAGAACATTGTTGTCTTTTTCCTGGTTTCTGCGTCAGTTGGAAAATGTGTTTGCTGAGCAATAGTCTGTTGCTACAGGAACATACCTTGGTACTCAGCCAACTACCATGTGCACCGTAGAAGTTTTTTAAAGCTGTATTTTCCTAATTCTTCTCTGAAGTCATGAGGACCATGCCCTTCTTTCTTATAAAAGATAACACATAGAATTTTAGTCCATAGAACAACTCTAGACGTCGACCATCAGCAGTACAAGGTAGATTTTGTATGTAAGCAGCAAATGGTCACTATAATGTCATGTGTGCTTGGAGAAATATGTGGCCCTTTCACTGTGCTTTGTTTTGGGGGGGCTCAGTCTCTGAGAGCTCTGCCTTTTATGCAGTGGCATACGTGCACACTGACCTTTGTGTGGTGGCTAGGTTGCCTAGGGTTGGAGCAGGGAACAGATTCCCTCCTGCCTTATTTCTTTAAAGAATGAATTATCGTCATTCATTTCATTGGATAAAGGAAAGGGGTGTCCTCTGAGTGAAGGTAAAACCTGACAGATCTTTTTTTGATCCCAGTTGTCAAATGCTACCCATTTATGTTACTTCTAGAACATGATGGGGAATCTCTCTTCCTGTTTACATGGTGCAGTGTAAAGTTGTTGGCTTTGTCAACTGTGTTGTGATGAGAACTTCATTTTTTACTAGGTAAAAGCCAGTTGCCATGATGGGTGACAAGTACAGAGGGAAGGTTTTTTCAGATTTTACTCTGATGGTGTTAGGTTCCTACGTGCATTTAGGAAAAAAGTGAGAAATGTATTCACTATTCTTTCAGACAAAGGAAAGAAATACATTCAGAAATACTACTGGGATATGGCATAAACCTGTTTCTTTACCCTGACAGGCCCCAACCACTGAGAACCAATCCTGGCCCTTCCTTAGTTCTATTTGTAGGGTGTTATAGAATGTTGGAACTGGTGTGTATATGTGTGCAATATATATGTACATACATGCATATACACAGAGCTTTTTTGTAGAAAAAGCCCAGCAGGAACTTATTAGCATAATAGGCCACACCCAACAGCAGAAATTCAATGTATTAGGCCACACCCCAACAGCACAGCTCATTAGCATATTAGGCCACACCCCATGCCTTCCCTTAGCTTGCCCGGGCGCCCCGTGGCTGTGGGAAGCCCGGGCAAGCCAGCCCTTAGAGAGGTCGGGGAAACCATGGGGAGGCATTTAAATGCCTCCCCGATCCTTCCAGGGCCCCCCTGGCCTACCTGCCTCAGAGTTGCCGGGGGGGGGGGTTTCCTCTCCAGGCCTTCCCTCTGTAGCCACGCACGCAGAGGTTTTGGCTGTAGTGGGCGTGGCCAACTCTGAAGCCAGCCAGAACTCCGTTCCTGTGCGTTCCTGCCCAAAAATAGCCCTGCATATACATGTAATGCATCAAACAGATTGCATCAAATCCAGGTGCTGTTAAAAGTTTGATGGAAGAGATAAGTGTTGCCTGCCTCCGAAATCCATTAATGTAGCAGCACAACAAACCTACATGGCAAGAATCATCTGCAATTACCATTCATTGCAGAAAATGCTGAATGCTCACATTTTCCCTTGAGAGGGGTGTTATGGTAGAGGAATGCATGGTATCTTAATTGCCACACAAGAGGCACTGACTTCCAGATAGGTCACTCTCTTTCCTGGGAATGAAGCCATAAACTTCTTGGATTTCAGGCTGAGAATAGATGGTGTATCTTTGTGGATACAAATGAGCAGGGTGAAGATGACTATTTGCCCACCTTTCAGGAAGAAGAAAGATAGGTTGCTGTTTCCAGTATCCTAGATAGGGCAATAAAAGTTGGGGATGTGAATACTGATGTAATTGGAGAAAGGTGGAAGGCACCACATGTGGGAATTCACACTAAATTCCAGGATAGGCCAGGGAGAAACCCTCCCAGCCAAAAGGGAAAAGCGTTAGAAAGCTTAACATACTCTGTAGAAGGACGTAAGCCAAGGACCAGGGAACAGGTGAGGAACAAAATGAAGTCTGCCTTTGCTAGCCTCTGTTTCAGAGTTCCAGCTTAGTTTGTGTCCATTCCTTGGAATGAAATACCAAGGTAAAACCACTGATTTCTACAACTTAGCCCCATGTTTTTTTCTTAGTTCTGTTATACTGCTTTAATGTTTTGATATAGTTCTGCAGTATTCATGTGCTAAATGAGGATAATTTTTCCTTCTAAAGATCTCACACTGTGTTGAAAGATCTCACCCAGGATATCTGTCTACTTGTCCACGGATAGACCTGAAACTCCTGACTGGGTGGGGAAGGGGTGTGTGGGTGGGGCAGCTCACATATGCACACAGAGCCTGTATCTGCACCTCAAAGTATAGACAGCAAAAGAGAGGGCAGAGTTTCAGTGGCAGTGGCTAACCAATCAAAACCAGAGGGGAAGAGAGGGGGGAAATCCAAGCCCTCTCTCACAAGCACAGATTCCCCACAGCCTTTGGGTATGCTTGGTCCAGGAGAACTGGGGGGGGGGGGATCATCACAAGGGATAACTGGAAAAGACTTTCTCAGCTAATCTGTCTCGCAGCATTATTGTAAGGATAACATGGAAGATGGGGAAGTCCGGCATATTGCCCTAAACGTCTGGAAGAGGGGTGGGATAAAAATATGCAAGGTAGACATTTTCTGCTTTTAACTTGCATTCAACTAGCATGTATTACTTTCTGGGTTAGTCTGTGTGGGGTAGGAGTTAAAACTGCAGTCGTTCTTCAGCGACCTCTAGAATTAAAAAAATATATATACAAAACCTTTGGGCTATCACTGTGGGCTTATGTGTAGACTTGGAGAAACAGAAGTTTTCCATAAACATTTGCCTTGCTTTAGCTTCCTGCAGATGTACTTCATATATAAACTCCTCCACACGCTGCAGCTGTCAGGCGGTCATGGTACTTTGATACAGGACAAAAGAGTGTGGTGCTATGTTGCAGCGATTAGGCTAGAAAGGACATATATTGTATTTGTAGCTAGAAGGCTGTTATCAGTTTAGGTCATTGCGGTTGGACCCGATAATGCAGGTAGAAAGACATATCTGTTTGCTCAGTGATAAATGTCTGCATTGTTATAGCAGCTTATCTGTGTGGTGTTTGCAGTACAGATGAGTGCAGTGTAGGATCAATAAAAATGTAGAGATAACATTAGTGTTTCCCCCCAAAAATCTGTTATTAGAGGAACTGATAGCACCCCAATGCCTACTTTTTGATTCCACCCCCCCAACTTGTTCCCTTCTTTCTTAAGAGCATTATAATTGGGCTGGTGAACTATTACTTTGTATTGCACAGAACACGTAGAGGATTTTTATTTTAACAAAAGTAGAGAAGGCATCATGATGTCTTCACAGATAAAGATATTGAGGTGGGACTGTATTCGCTATGATCACCCAGTGAGCCTCAGGTTAAGCTGAGTTTTGAACTTTGACAGAGATTTTTTTGTAGAAAAAGCACAGCAGGAGCTCATTAGCATATTAGGCCACACCCCAACAGCACATCTCATTAGCATATTAGGCCACACCCATGCATTCCCTTGGTTTGCGCGAGCGTCCTGTGGCAAGCCGGCCAGGGAAGGCACGGGGAAGCATTTAAATGCCTCCCCAATCCTTCCAGGGGGGCCCCAGCCCGGGGGGAGGTTCGCTCTCCAGGCCTTCCCTCTGTAGCCATGCACGCAGAGGTTTTGGCTGTAGTGGGTGTGGCCAGCTCTGAAGCCAGCCGGAACTCCGTTCCTGTGCGTTCCTGCCCAAAAATAGCCCTGAACTTTGATATTTTGATCCCAAGTCCAAAATGTAACTGCTGAGGATCACTGTTTCTGAATAGTCAACATGGCACAGACAAATTGGTTAAATGCTAAATAGCAATATGTAGCATGTTTTAGAATAATGGATTACACAGGTGAAAGCCAGAGAAATGAGCTATGGCAATAATCCTATGTGGTTTCCTTTGAAGTATATTGCACAAAAATTGATGAGATGTTCTTCCCATTAAACAAACTTAGTTAGGGGTGCAAGTTGCAATGAAGACTATAGGATTTAAGTGATGTCTAGAAAGAATACTTTATTTTCCCAGGACTGAGCCTATTTACTATGCTTTTATTTTTTATTATGCTTTTATTTATTTATTTTTATTATGTTAAATCGTATATTGTTATTATAACATCTTCAGGAACTTGTCAGCAAACAAGAGGATTTCAAATGGCCTCTGAATGTTTAAAGTTGTTGCCCCAATTTAGCTTGCTGTTACCCCCCTCCCAATTATGCTTATTTGGTATTTATTGTGCAGGTCCTGTGCCCACGAATGAGTGTGTGTTGTCACCTGTCAACAGCTCCCACCCTGTTCAAGCCTTGCTGGAGAGCTTTACTGTCTTATCCGGCTGTGCAAGTCAAGGAACTGCTGGGTTACCACAGGAAGTTCATGTTCTCAATCTGCGAAGTCCAGAAGAAGGCATCGGCCACCATGAAAGAGAGGTAAAGGAGAAGTCCTACTGTTGCTTATAGGGTTGGGTCATGAAGGCAACTGCCTCTTATTAAACCAGGCTTGCTCTCCAGCGAGAACCAAAATGGTGGTACTACTGACTCCTGGAGAATGGGTATGTCAGTTGATCTGCGCCTAGATAATCTTAATCTTCTTTTTCTGCATCTGATTGTTCTGTCTGGCAGAGTTAGGGAGCTAGCTACACATTACATTCCAGTGTGTATAACAACCCTTATCTCTTGCTCTTTTTTTAAAGAGAAGCTTCTTTGGGTGTGAGGAGTTTAGAGCAAAAAAAAAAGGGGGGGGGGATATGAGCATAACTCTTAAATCGCTTGTCATTTCTCCTCTACAAATCTCCTGTAACTTCCTCCTCTGTAGAATTACACTCACACACTAACCTTGGTAGACATGTGACACAATTCAGGAGGAAAAAGCAATTCGGACAGTAAAAATAATAAACAGGGAAAGAGTTACCCTTCTGTTTTCTAAATTACAGCCTTTCCATGGATCTTTTACATACATTTGCATGTAGTATAGTTAGTTTCTTAACCTGACTAGTCCGCATATCTTTGGCATTCATCTTACAGCTCTTCAGATTTTCAGAATGATTGGCTCACCTGTAATATGATTAACTGTATTTAATTGGTGTAGAATGTAGTTTAGATAGCAAATGTTGCTGATTTCAGTAGTTCTTGAGCACTGTGTAAGTGACTTTTTAATTCAGATTTCACATTGAAGGGCTCAAAACAGAACATTTGTTCTAGTTGCTATGAAAAGATGCAATACAAAGGAGATGGGAAAAATGTCTTGCTGTTAACTTGTGTAGTATTCTGAAAACAGATCAAAGCAGGCTGATGGTGAGAGAGCAAGAGAAAACAATTCATGACATCTGAGCATTTGAGCTCTAAAAATGCTCCATGAAGAAGTACTGTATTATTATCTGAATTTAAGAATTTGGAAAGGTGGAGACCCATCTAGGACACAGAGCAGGATTCTCAACAATCCATTCTAGTAGCTTTGCTCCTAGTCTAGAGCACATCACAATATATTCCATCGCTTCCGACTGTTTTAATGTTGTAGCCTTAGTATAGGGAGCTTTCCCAGTACTACCCCACAAATAAAAATATCATAAAGATAAAGATATCATATTGTTGTTACAGGAATGTTTCTCTGGTGTTGCAGAAGAACTTGCTGGCACAAATATAGATGTAATCCTTGTTAATAATCTTGGTTACTGGGAAAGGAACAAACCCCAGTTTGTTAAGAAGATCAAATTTGAATGTGACAACAAACTGAAGTTGTTGCTAGACATATGATTTTTAAAAATACTGTAAGCCACTGCAAAACTCCTCATATGAATTGTAGTATAAAATAGAAAAGCAACATCAGCCGTGAGTAAGATTAATTTCTGATTACTTTAAAAAAGCAGACTAACACCAAGACCACCATAGTTGGAGACAGATGGGTATGCTTAGGCATGTCTGTCATTTTTTTGGATTGTAGCCAAGGAAATGCAATGGTGGTGAATCTTATCAAGGTGTTTTCCTACTAATCTCCCAGATCTTTAAATGGTTGGAGAAATCTGCAACCCGCAGAGTTAGACTCCGATTTCATTTCACCCTCTGCAGTAGAGATATTTTTGTGAATATTCAGCTCTAAATCACTGGTTGGGTTCAAGTACAAGGCAGCTGCCTTGCTTCATGGGCTCACCTAAATGGATTATCTTCCAAGAAGAGGTTTCCAAATCTGTCTTTCCTGTGTTTTTCAGAGTGTTATCTAGCGGCCTCTTGTGTACTGTTGTGCAGCATATTCAACATCCGCAATCTCTAGTTTATTTCCTATATCCTTCTAAAAGACGGGTGGTTGTAGCCTTTGGAGATAGCTGCTGAGAAAATGAACAGGAAGCAAGAGAGAGGCTTGCTGGCGACACCGGAGAGAGTAAGAGTATAAACAACTGGATTAGATCAGGTTTTTTTGCTTATAGGATAGAAGTTTGAAAACAAAGCAGAGCAAAGGTTATCTTTAGCCTCATTGTAAAATCTGAGGCTTAGTGCCCAGTTTTGTCAAGGCGAGTCATGGTCTCCATCACCTCACATTGAGAGCAGAATTGGTTCATCCGTAGGGAAGTTTCCTGCCATTCCATTTAGAAATGTATATGTTCACTACACAACACTTCCAGGAGCTTGGAGTATAAACATATATATATATTTTGGTTCTGTGTTGCTTGCCTATTGTGGCTGACATTGAAAGATATGACAAAGAAGCTTGCATGTGACCTTGGTGATCACAAGGGCATAGTGTAGAAGATCATATTAAAAATAAATTTCACGTGTCTTCATGTTAGAAGTGTGTGTTTTTGTTTTGTTCCTTAAACTTGTCACATTATGGGTTCTGCTAAATTACATATGCCTGACATGCTGAGAGGGAGTGCAAATAAATGCCTTCTTGCAGCAAATCCCTCATAGGCCTCATGCATTAAACATTGTACTACAGTGTAGTTCTCATAAATATACAGCACATTGTAGTTATATTTTTGACACTCTCTGAGAATGTGTAGCAAACAAAAAGTCTCTCACACATAACCACACAGAGGGGGGTCCATTTTAAAAATCTTGTTTCAAACTCATAGAGCCTGCTGAAGTTAATGAACATTATTTATCCCCAGACAACTGAATATTACTGAGAAACAGAGGTTAAAAATGGTTTGAAAAATATATTGTAGTTGAAATAGTTAATGCTTCCAAAGGCAGTACAATACTGTGAAAATCGGTAATGAACAAACTGTGGAAATTGGCACCCGGGAGTATAATTAAAGCTTAGAGCTGAATGCTTTAAAGATGAAAGGTTTCTTTATACTTTTTGTGTAGATGTATTGTTAAATCTTCCTTAATTATGGACAGACATCTTTAATTAGTAAAAGTCAAGTTTAAAAGGCCCAGAAACTCAAACATGATTTATAGTCAAAATGGAGAAGGCAATAACAACTAGCCTCATATGGACAGTGTTAAAGAAAATAGCATTTGTGTTTAGTTTGGAAATCTTGGCAATTCATGTGCAATCATCTTCAGGGGTGTAATGATCCTCATCTTCGTAACATATTGTGTGAAAGATCAACAGTAGAATTATTCTAGTGAAACAGATATTTGTTAGTCTTAAGTGCTGAAATGCACTTACAGCTGTATAGAATTATTTTGTGCCATCTAAAATATAAGACATGTAGTCTTTAAAGTGAGAAGAAGGGTTCCTTGCCATGGCTCGACATCTAAAGGAGAGAAAAAAATGGGAAACAATCCCCCCCGTGGAAGAATAACATTTCAAAACTGTAAAATAACATTATTTTTTGAAAAAAGAGACCTGTGTTCATTAGGCGTTCACACTTGTCGCATACTTTAGTGAATAGAAAAATACAAGTGGAGACCTGCAAGAAAGACCAAGGGCCATTTCAAAAGGTAATGGGGGGGATTCAACCCTCCCCAAGCTTTTTTGTTAACTTTTTGGATTTTTGGATTTTTCTGCAGAACCAGAAAGTCCTCTGAGTCTGTAGAAACAGCTGTTGAGGGAGAGTAAGTCCTCTGTTGGCAGAAATAAGTATCCACACCCAAAAGGGACTTTGGCTATTAGTATATAGCAGGGATGGCCAGACTTGCTTAACGTAAAAGCCACATAGAATAAATGTTAAATCTTTTGAGAGCTGCAGTACATGAATAAATACTACACACGTTTTTATTTAAAATATGCAAATTTGCTTTTTATTAACATTAAATGAGACTGCCAAAAATAAAAACAAAAGGGGTAAAATAGATATTGATAATTATATTTGTTTTCCAATGATATTTATTTGTTTGCTAATTATATTTATTTGTTGAAGACAGAGAGAAAGAGAGAGAGGTGGAAAGAAAGAATGAAAGAGGTGGAAAGAAAGAGAGAGAGAGAGAAACAATGAAAGCCAATAGATGGGGAGGGAGGGAGCAGGGAGGGAGGAAGGAGGAGAGAGGAAAACGAAGGAAGGAAAAAGAAAAGGAGAAAGCAAAAGAGAAAAGTGGAAAAAAGCAAATAGATGGGGGAGGGAGGGAGGGGAAAAGAGAGAGAGAAACAAAGAAAGCAAATAGATGGGAGGGGGAGGAGGGAAGAGAGAAAGAAAGAGAAAAATAAACAGAGGAAGCAAATAGATGGGGAAGGAGGGGGAGGAAGAACAGAAGGAAGGAAGAGAAAAAGAGAAAGGTGGAAAGAATGAAAGAGGTAGAAAGGAAGAAGGAGAGAGAGAGAAACAGAAACAAAGCAGATAGATGACGGAGGGGAAGGAAGGAAGGAAGGAATGACGGGAGAGAGGAAGGAAGGATGATTGAAAGAGAGAGAAAGAAAGATAAAAAAGAGGTAGAAAGAAAGCAAATAGATGGGGAGGGAGGGAGGAAGGGGAAAAGAGAGAGAGGTGGAAAGAAAACAAATAAATGGGGAGGGAGGGGGGAGGGAGAGGTGGAAAGAAAGGAACCTCCCCAGCCTCCCCAGCCACCTCCCCAGCCTCCACACCAGCCAGTTTGGATTGGAGAAGGCATTTAAAGAGACAAATGCCTTCTCAAAGCAGGCAGGCAGGGACGCTTTAATAACACATTTAAAGTTAAAGTTGCTTTTTTCTCTGTTCCCCCCCACCAACCTCAAGCCCGTCCAGGGAGGGGAACACTGGCTGGGGAAGGGACGACCAATTGGAAGGCATGTCCCCCCCTTCACTTCCCCATCTGTCCTGCCGGGAGCCACACAATATGTGTGAAAGATCTGCATGCGGCTCCCGACCTGCAGTTTGGCTACCCCTGATTTATAGGTTCTTGTCCTCATGTTACATATTTTGTAATATTAAATTAGTAGTTAATTAGCAAACAGTAAACATTAAGTAGAACAGGCATGGTTTTATTATTATCAATATTTTAATTAGTTGCAAAAAGGTAAGAGAGGGGAGGATGTCACCTTGACATTTGGGGTATTAGGCTTATATGTCAAG